ATTGAATAGTCAGCATTAACCCTAAGTAAATCCATGTTGACTGTCCTCAGTTACCCATTTCTCCTTCATGGACCTTGAAATGTCTTCCAAGCACACGTGCTCCATTATTTTCCAAGGAACTGAAGTGGGACTGAGCAACTTGTAATTCCTCAAACTGCCCTGTTGGCTTTTGTTTTTTGGCAGACAAGTGCAACACTTGCTTTTGCCCAATCAGCAAACATCTCCCCAGTTTCCTTAACACTTCAAACATGACAGAGAGTGATTTTGCAAGGGATCATACAGTTCTCTCTGAATCCAATTGGACCTTCTGGTCCCACTGAGTTGCATAGGCCAAGCTCTGAGATCTAAAGGGGAAGTCCTGGAAGAACTTGGTGAAGACTGAGGTAAAGAAAGCAAGGAATACCTCAGCCTTGTCTGTGTCTGTGGTCACTAATTTACCTGTCTCATTTGGTAGTGGACACACAGTTTACCTATTCAGCCTTCTACTACTAAACTAAGAAAACAAGCTCTTAATGTCCCTTTTTAAGTCTCAACTAAAGCCAAGCTTTGTCTTTGCTGACACAGGAAGCCTGACACATTTCCTTGCCCAAACAACATTTCTAAATTTCCTCTTGGAAGCCTGTCCCTTCTGTCAGTTCTTCCACACTGCTTTTTGCATTGGAATACCATCACAGCTACACTCTGTAGATAAGCCAGGCAGCTTATCTTCTTGAGTGTCAGGATAGATTGTTCCTGCATACTGTCCTTAGCCACCAGTAAGTTTTCATGAGTAATTTTATCCTTCAAATCCTCTACCCTTGGGATTCCATATGTCAGGTCCAAAGATAAACCAGATCAGCACAACTGAAGTCCAGAATCTGTATTCTGCTATACTCCTTCCTCGTTCCCTTCAGGATCTTAAATTCTACCATTTAAAAAACACTCTTACTGATTACCACATCCCCATACACCTACCTTGTTCATGTGCAGCAGACTACTGTGTGTCATCTTTAGTTGACTCAGCCAGTATTTATATTCAGAAGTTATCCTGGACACCATCTAGAAATCCTGACTGTTTTCATCTGGCCATGTTCGTCCCTGTGAGGGCTGTTAGCATTCCTCCTTTTCAGAACTATTATACACTTCAGAATTTCTCACAGGGCTCCTAACACCTTAGTTCCTGCTGCAGTCCCAAATTCCTTTGGATTTTTCATCTCTAAGCTTTTTTGGATAGCATTCCCCTTTAGCTCTCAGAAAGCCTCAAAACATAAAAAGTGGACTCGGAAATTTCTATTTCATGCACCATTTTGATCTATTATATACAGGGGGCAAAAAACTCCAAAATAACAACAAAGAAATCTCTCAATTTTTTTCAAGCGTTCTAAGTTTCATGCAGAATGATTTTCTATTTCACTTTATTCACCATACTATAGACATAATTATTCAGTCTTGAATTCTCTAAAACTACTGAATCAATACTTTTCTTCCCTTATTCCCCTGAACAACTTGAGGTCCTGTCCACCCAAACTCCACGAGAACAAATGAAAACCTGGATGGGTCATATCTGATACTTGCAAATATGAAGATGCTCATATACTATGTAAATGGAGCACTATGAGAAAAGGGTTACATTCTATCTTCAGGTAGTTCCTTTTCAGCATAGATTTCATCAACTGGAATGTAATTCAGTTCAGTCATGCTTACTTAACTCTGAAGGCCTCTCAGACAATGAAGCTTGGAAAAATCTCAGTCTTTCATCATTGTTCTGAATTTCTACAGGGAAATTAAGATCTATTAATCCTGCAACACATCTGCGTCTAATTCATGTTCACCCTTATCAGCTTAGCTTGTTTGGTAGTACTTACAGGAGAGCCAGTATGGCTTCACCAAGGGCAAATCCTGCTTGACCAATCTAATGTCCTTTTGTGATGGTGTAACTGCATCATTGGACAAGGGAAGAGTCACTGATGTCATCAATCTGGACTTCAGTAAGGCCTTTGACACGGTACCCCACAACATCCTTCTCTCCATATTGGAAATATATGGATTTGATAGGTGGACTGTTCAGTGGACAAAGAACTGGCTACAGGATCAAGCCCAGAAAATGGTGGCTAATGTCTCAGTGTCAGTATGGAGATCAGTGATGAGTGGTTACCCCCAGGGGTCAGTGCTGGGACCAATACTCTTTAGTATCTTCATCAGTGACACTGACAGTGGGGTCGAGTGCACCCTCAACAAATTTGCTGATGACACCAAGCTGTGGGGTGTGGTTCACACACCAGAGGTATGGAATGCCATCCAAAGAGACCTAGACAGGCTCAAGCAGTTGGCCCAAGCAATAAATCCAAGTGCAAGGTCTTGCTCCTCGGTCGAGGCAACATCCATTACCAATACAAGCTGGGGGATGAAAGGATTGAGTGCAGCCCTGCTAAAAAAATACCTGGGAGTACTGCTGGATGGGAAACTGGCTATGGGCCAGCAACGTGCTCTCACAGCCCACAGCCTGTTGAAATTCTGTTCACAATTATTGTTTTTTATCAGTGAAAACAGCACCTTGTTTCTCTAAATCTAAAGTATATTATAAAATATATATTTGTATATACTCACTATGCTTTTTTTTCTAAATACGTTTATCAACCTGAGAAAGAATATTGCTTTTTTGTTCTCCCATTATTTTACAGAGAAGCAGTTGTTAAAATTTTACTAATAATTAATATTCTGCTATTTTTAATGGAGATGACATCTCAGTGCATTTTTTAAAATTAGGACCGAGTAATTCTAAAGTATTTGCTAAAAATAAAATTCCTATTATTATAATAAAGCATAATAAATAGTATAGTCTCTACATAGTATACTTGGAATACATAATTAACAAATACACAAGTATCACCTGATCTAAGAGATGAATGTTTGCCGAATAATTGATGACTACACAGGAATAATATTTCACAGTTACATTCTACCTCTTCACAATAATGGAAATGTTTAAATGGATAAGGAGGGTATTTATTAATCAACTGATTTCCTAATGGTAAATAGTTTACAAGGGTGGAACTCAAAAACCACAAAAATCATATTCTGACAATATACTGTTACCTCTCTTTTTCAAACAGGTAACCAAAACTTGGAGCCCTAACATTTATTTCCACCAGAAAAAACATTTGATCATTGTATTGTTAACTTCTGTGGTTGTCACCCTCGATTTTTATAAACAGTATTTCCTTAGACATAGCGGAAAGGACTACGATAATTCCATCACACTTCTAGGCTTCGAGCACGTTGTTATCCAAATTCTCTTTTTTAGATGACAACAGCACTTCTTTGGATGCTATTTCTGGTATCTTATAAGTTATTTCTCACATTAACAGATAAATCCTATTAAAATAACTTCCAAGTTCTTAATGACAACATACATACTTTTCTCAAGGGTTGCGGCATCTATATGCACTTTGCACAGTCTTGTTCTAGAGCTAAGTTTTATATTTCCATAGCATTATCGCACGCAAAGGAGGGCAGTGTTGTTAAGTCACTATTTCACAAGTTGTATGCCAGGATTACAGATTCTTAAATGGAGAATTAGGAAAAACTTTGTAGCCATGGCATGCATAGTCCATCCATCAGATGAATGTAAACCTGCCCTACTTGAGCTGTTATTAACTGCTCTTGTTTCCATGGCATAAGAACATTCAGAAGTTTGACACATTTGGTGCCTTCTTCACAGGAACCTAGTAGGAAATAGTGGTTCCTGTAAGTGGGGCTTCTGATGCTGTTCTGTTAGTCCTGACTATGCTAGAGAATACCCAGTTTCAGATAAAGAATCCAAAGCAACAGAAAATAAATTTAAAATCTGATTAAAAATATAAATCTCAGCCACATAGAAAACTATTTTAACAATTATTCATGCACTTTGTGATTCACGATGTGCAGGCACTAAGTGCTCATCTTCCATATGAACTGCTTAACAGAAAAATTATATGTGACCTAAGATGTTCCACACTGTAATCTGTATGGCAGTAACAGAGCTGAAAAGAATTTATGTGGGGGAAGACACTAGAGGGGAACTCAAGCAGCAGTAATGGGTCCATAAGTAGCACTTAAAATTAACCTACTTTCTTTATAGCAAGAGAATGTAGAGTATAGAAATGCTTCTAAGAAGATAAAATGCCCTTCATTTAGAGACAGAGGCGTAATAATGATAGATAATGGAAATTTTCTTCACAACACTCTTTCTTCAACAGCAGGGGCAGAGCTGGAAGGATTCACTATTATTGTTTTTCTTGTATCAGATCTATTCATATCATCTGTGCATCATAACTGCATGTTAGGGACAAATCAGCTCAGCTTCAATATTCACTGATGCATTTTATTGCATTCTGACTAAAGCTACATCTTGCAGACTTTCGAAAGTTACTCTTCAATCGACTACACACAAAATTACATTTTAAATATTAAAACATATATGACAGAGGAAAAATATTACATTTATTCCTGAATAACACATCTGCTTAGCCTCAGGCATGAAGTAGTATTAATTACCTCTGAGCTTTATTTAATTGGTCAAATAAATTGCCAAATGTTGGATGCTGATAAATAGGAGAAGGAAATTAAGAAATAACCAGCAACTATAAGCAATCTTTTAGCACTAGTGAATTCCAGCATATGAGAGAAAATTTATAGCTCATGTACTTATAAAATATAAACTAAACAGAGACTGTGAGACAACAGTAAAATATGTTCTTTTTCATAGTGTTAGAACCTGCTTCAATATAAGTTACCAACAACCTCAATAATTTAAGTGGTTATTACTAATACAGACATTACAGATATGTATACTCAAAGACAGAATGTAAGTATGCATTCATATGTATATACCAGCCAAATACAAATTACACTTGGGAAGGAAGAAAGAAGAGCCACGTATTGCACACAGAGAAGCCAATGTGCATGTGAAATAAGGGGAGTGATGAGGCAGGAGAAAGAGGAGAATATGAAAATAATGGAAAATTAATAAGGACACTTACTGGAGAAAACCACATCACTTTAAGAATCCAAATTGTCAAAGAAAAATTCACAACTAGGATGATTAGCAGGAGTAGAACAAACAGGTAGAGGCAACGCTTTCTCCAACCATAAATTCCAATTCTGTAGACATATTCATTCTTTGGCCTCTCTAGGCTAGTGCCTGGTGTTGTTGTAGTGTATTGTTCACGTACCATCTGCTATGTAAAGAAAAAAGAAGAGACTGCTTAGTTATTAGAGTTAAATAAAATATGTGTGTAAAAAACAAGGAAAATATAAATATTTAATTGTACTATAAACTCTTACAATTTTAGCTGGAAAATATTTCATCATATCTCATTAAATTACAGTCATAACTTTTTGGTATAGTCAATGTAATGCTTCAATACATGAACTGTGTCAATTATTATTTTCAGGAGGCTCAAGTTTATTTTATCCTATATAGTACGTTAACAATTCCCTCCAATTTTTCGTAATAGTCTGATTCTTCCTGCACAAAAGTTTTAATAGGGTCACATCTACAGCACATAGAACAAAATTACTACAGTGTAAAAATACTTCTAGACTTGATAGAAGTGCCTTGCCAAGTGCAGCTTCAAGAATTCTACGTATTCTTTCCTCTATTCAGTGAAAAATAAAGCATTGCTTCTGTTGCAAAACTTAGCTGTATAACAGTGGAATGACAGAATTCATAATCTGTATGTAAAGAAACAAAATGGTTCTTTATAATAGAAAGGAAACAATTATTAATTTTTCATATACTCATACAGATATATTATCAATAAAAATGTTACTTACAGTACTTATACAATATCCACTTTATATTACAAGTCTAAAAGAAGCATTTTCTGAATTTAAATAAATCTTACCAAATTGTACTTCTTTAAAACATAGGGATATTCAATAATTTCCACTTCTCCAGCACAGAGATCACCAAGAATTCAAACCATTCCTTAAAACTTGCACTTCAGACACAAGAAAAAAAATCTCAGTAGCTTAAGCTGCTTATCAAGAACAGTAATGGGTAACATCTGTCTCATTTCCACTGCTATAAAATGAAGAAAAAAAAAAACAAAACAGAAAAACTCACAACAAACAACCACGCATATCAAAAAGAAAATAGGTATTTTAAGTACTTCCTATGAGCTAGGTATATCCACTGGTGTTATACATCCAAAAGTAGCCAAGTAATGTTCTCAGATGAGAGTGCCTTCAAAAGATAGGTTCCACACGAGGTCTCCTCTCTAGTCAGAACTTCCCCCTGGGAATTAGATCATTTTGCTCTGCACAGAGTTTTCAGAATGTGATTAAATTACATCCTGTTCTGCTGCTGAATTTCTGTAAGTCATGGAAAGGGTTCCTTCAGGTCTCCTGTAGAATCATCCTGTGTCTGTGACAAGCATGTGGCTCTTAATACTGACCCCCATCCTTGGAAACACATCTTTTTTTTTTTTTGTTTGTTTGTTTCTGTAGCTTCCTATCAAGCTACAAACCAGAGAAAATAGGTTTACAAGTAAACAGAAGCCTACGCTCTGTTTGTACAAATGCAGCATTCATCTTATTTCTGCATTTACATTCAAAAATATTTCAAAAGTTATAATTTGCTGTTTATTCATAACAAAAATGAGATTTGATCATCAGCAGTTCATAATGTAACTATGCTAAAGCAATGGCCTCCTTAATTTGTTATTGTTATCAGTCCCAGTTGCTCATGATACTGTGGAGGTGAATATTTTCTTGTGTGCAAAATACTGAAGATGGCATAATGACTTATTAGCGGAGAATAACAGATTCTGAAATAATTTATACTAACATTACTGCACAACAATGCAGATTTACAAGATGGCATTCATACCCACTGTATGAACTACATTTGCTTAAAACTACCAGATTATATATATATACATTTTTTTGCTGTTGTCCAGCTAACCACTATATAACATATCAAGTCACTAACACAGAAGTAGTTTCCAATTATAAGTCTAATTTACAATTCTCTGTCAACCGAGACAAACTGGGACAATTACGCATATGATAGACTTCACAAAATACTTAGAAAAGCTTTTTTCCCCCGTGTTCAAATAAATCTCTCTTGAAAATTGTAACTTACACCATAGGATGCACTAACTGCTAACTTCTGACAAAAACAGATGTACTCAGAGAAATAACTTGTACAGTTTTTGCTCAGATACAGTATCATGCAACAGTCCAATATCCTAACACTGGGGATCCTCTGAGTTTCTTACTGTTTCCTTTAGTCCACACATGGTAAATGTCAGTATAACAAGAAACAAGACAGAAGAAAGCTACAGAAATTGTGTAGTAACAGAAATTTCCTTCACAAGACAGACTGCTTGTTGTTTTAAGAAGAAAAAAAAAAATCACCTTCCAAGAATACTTAAAGGGTTATTTCAATAGGGCTGTAGGAAAAGCAATCTTCAGAAACTGCACCATCTCATGAAGTTAGCTGAGCTTTCATAAAGTCTTTAGGTGGAGCACTTAAGCTTTTCCTTGTGTGCCTGTTTCCTACATCCTCAGGATAAATTTCTCAGTAGAAACAAAATCTGATAAAGAATAAATTAATTCTCAGATCTTCATGTTCTTACGTCAGTCTCACCACAGTGGTCTCTGAGGTTGGGATTCATTTCACCATGAAATACCAACAATTTAGACTTCACTACCTGAGCCAGACAACTCGGATTCTTTTTATGGTCAATGAGATAAATACACTCCTGCTAGGAATTACGTATCTGAATTATTTTAGATGTATATGTTAGACATGCAATGAACTGCACCTGAAATGTGATTACCTTTTCTGCATAAAAAGAGGAATAAAGATTGCCTGGGATGACTTGCACCTCCTCACACCTACACACTTTAGACATAAGCATTTGGTCAAATTAATTGCAGGAATGATTTCCAGAAGCATTTAACAGGAAGATGGGATTTTCTTGATTCCTGTTTTCCTCAATTCTGTTTTCACCCTGTCGTAAAATGTATATTGTGTGAGTGGAGGGTTTTATGCATAATCTATTATGTACTGGCGTTTAATGAGGCAAGGTTAAAATCCATTATGCATTTCACCAAAAAACTATGAGTTTTGTGATTGCTTTCAGCCCTTCAGAAATTCCACATGGGGACATCTCCCAGTGCAGTTTTGGTCCCTGCACAAATTATTTTTTCTTGACAAAAAATGGTTCAATTGTTCCCAAGCATTAGGACTGCTGGAAATTGCTTTAGTCCTAATGAAAGGACAGTGTTGGCCTAGACAACGGCCTGCTCTGAAATACATACAACTTTTCTAATTAATATAATGTTTCATGATTTCTAAGAGAATTAGTGGCCTAGTAACAAGCAATTAAAGGTGAAATGCTGTAAGAATTTATACTGTTGGATGTCCTTTTCTGGAGGAATCAACAACTCTGAGTTTTATAACGGATGGTATTACTGACTTTCAAGAGACAAAATTATGTAGAATAACCTTAGGTTTGTTTGTAGAAATCAAAGAGAAATTCCTTTATGGCCTAGAGCTGTTTTAAGAAGCTGGACTGAAAGGAAAAAGCCCTACATGGGGAGATCTCTTGGGTGTCTGGGGAACTCTGATACTTGAAAACGCTGCTGATGAAATAGCTGTGAATTCTTTACACTTTGATACTAAGACTGCTTTCTGGAAATGTGTAGCCATGAAAGAACATCACCGTGGACCTATTCCATTTTTTAATGAAGCTAAGATTTGGAGACTAGTCTCTGTGATTTCCATGACAGGGGCCCAGGAATCCAGGATTTTTTTAATATTAGTATCTAAATATTGAAAGACTGTCCATCACTAATGTTACTGTTGCCTTTAGGTCAGTTTGGGCCTTAAGTTCAAAAGCTATTCTGCTAGCTCAGGGATATTTAATGAAGATAGTGTTTTGAATTTGCAGGCTTACCAGAAGCCTGCTTGGGAGAGCAATCATGAGTTAATCATGTTATTTTCAGGAATTAGTTATGTATATGATTACTGAAGACAAAATACTATTTTAATTGAAATAAGTGTTTTTGATTTTTTTTTTTTTTAATTGAATTGGAAAAAAATAAAGTAAAAATACGTTTTCAGTAGTTTTGGTCACAAAAATCTGTTTTCTTCATGAACATTAAGTGATTAGAGGGGGGGGCATTCTGCTCCTTTACTCTGCTTTCCTGAGATTCCACTTGGAGTACTGTGCTGAGTTCTGGTGCTCTCAGCACAAGAACACGGAGCTGGTGGAGCGGGTCCAGAGGAGTGATGATCAGAGGGCTGGAGCACCTCCCTTACAGGGCAGGCTGAGAGAGTTAGGGCTCTTCAGCATGAAGAAAAGGCTCCAGGATCTTACAGTGGCCTTCCAGTACCTGAAGAGGGCCTACAGGAAAGCTGGGGAGGGATTTTTTATAAAGGCATATCAGCATACAGTGATATACTATAAAGGCATGTCACTATACAGGACAAGGGGAAATGGCTTTAAACTGGAAGAGGGGAAATTTAGACTAGATATCAAGAAGAAATTCTTCACTGTGAGGGGTGGTGAGACACTAGAACAGGCTGACCAATGAGGCTGTGGATGCCCCCACTCTGGAGGCATTGCAGGCCAGGCTGGATGGGGATGTGAGCAACCTGGTGTGGAGGGAGGTGTCCCTGCCCATAGCAGGGGGTTGGAACCAGATGACCTCTAACATTCCTCTGACCCAAACCATTCTATGATTAGATAATTATGATTATTCTGTATTAATACTTTGTCTTTCTGTCATATAGCAATCAATAGCAAGCAATTGGAAAGCAAAATTTTAAACATAAAACTGCTTTAGTTCACTAATACAATAAACAACTATAATTCTATTGACAATTATACAATTACTATCATTTTATATCTTTGGACTGTTTGTAACTATACTGGGACTTTCAGCAGAGAAGAAAAGCTTAGCATTCAAAATTCCTTTTCAAGTCAAAGTTAAGAAGAACTGCTGAAGTCTTGTGAACAAATTTGCACCACTGATGCTCATACAATACACATTTTTTTTGAAAAAAAATCAGACCACATCAGTCATTGGAACTTCTCTTTTTACATAAAGGATATTTATTTACATGCAAGAAGATTATGTGTGTGAGGCTGAAAGAGGGGATAGAGTGCAAAACTATAATAGTTAGTAGAAAGACCATCTGCATCATTTTAACCTTCCCTAAATTCTTTTGTCATTATAAATAAACTGTAAAGTGAAATAAAATTACATGTCAACTCAGGCAAGTGAGAACTATTTTACAGTTTGCACACAGTATCTTCACAGAACATTATCTTCATTAAAGCTTTTATATAACAGAGGGATTTGGCCTCTTCTCCCAGGCAACGAGCAGGACAAGGGGCAATGGCCGCAAGTTATATCAGAGGAGGTTTAGGTTGGATATAAGGAAGAACTTTTTCTCTCAGAGAGTGGTCAGGCACTGGAATGGCTGCCCAGAGAGGTGGTGGAGTCACCATCCCTGGCAGTGTTCAAGAGGCGCCTGGATGACATGCTGTGTGATATGCTTTAGTGCTTGTGGTGGCAGTGGTGATGAGGAGACAGTTGGGCTAGATGATCTTATAGGTTGTTTCCAACCTTGTGATTCTATGATTCTATATTGGTCTGGATGTGTATTATTATATAGCATGAACACCACAAGTACATTAAGACTGACTTCACAATTTGTTGGCATTCAGGCATGCAATAAAAGGCACACTACACACACACTATCTGGGCACTGAAGAGTTCGGTGATGAAGAAAAGAAATAGCTTAGCACTGCTGTGGCATTCTTCTGCCGGAGGAAAAACCGGTTGATGACAGAAAAAGTAGGAGTGATCAGGAAGCTTTGGAACCCATAGGGAAATGCTTCCTATTCAAATTCAAACAGACAGGGAAGTTCAAACTCTTATGACCAGATGAAAAGTTTCTAATTCCTTTCAAACTTCTCTAACATCATATATTTAATCTTACCTGGCTTTGATTTGCTATGATTATATATATGTATTATTATATGGGATATTAGTTTCAATTGTAAACTAATGTCATCAACTTAAAAGTGCTGGATCCCTGCTGCATAATCTGTGGAAGCAGGCAGAGAAATTCACGTAGCCTAGATGATTGTTTGCATACCTTGCAGTGAAAATGTATGTAATAATCTTGAGATGATTATAACTAATATGTTTATACTGATGTAACAGATGAAAAATAGTCACTGACAGCATGGAATGATGGGCTATATTAAAAATTATTATTTGTTGAATATCTGTGTGCTTTTGAATCTCACTTACAGTAAAAATATTTTTCAAATGTTTTCCATTTTTCCATTTGATTTATTTTTCCTCCCTTAATATAGTTTCCAAACATTAAGTAAATCAGAAAAAATCATTGTCATGATACTTCATTCAGATTCAGAAGACCAAGCAAGACTAGACAAATGTAACTTAAGAAAAAGATTTATTTTTTTCTTTTCAAGTTCTAAAATACTGTTTGGACACCTTTACTGTGTTTTTACATTTGACCAGATGGAGTTTTTATCTTTGTTTTTCCCATGTGATAGAACTAGTGTGTTATTACTTCTAATAACTTCTCTTGCACTTACATATTCTGGTTTACCTTCTTGGTTCATCCAAACAACTTTTTAGTATCTATTTACCATGAGAATTCAACACAATATTTTGAAATAGTCACCAAGCAAAATCTTGTTTCCTTTTGATAGAGTGCTTCCTCTTTATGCAACGTCCCTTTTTATAGTTAAGAACAATGGTTAAGATTCTTTGGCTACAGCTGCATCATCAAAGATATCTGCTCTAACATCAATATTGCTATTGTTTCAATACACCCCTTGATAACAATATGAAAGAAACTCTGTGCACTGATCAGAATTAAGTCAGGAAATGACTCTGCTTCTTGAGATACTGCTCCTGAAAGCAGTCATTGATGGGATTGTAAACTGTAGTCTTATTATTGGATGTATTTACGACATTTACGCCATGAACGTAAAAGAAAAAAATACGTTTTTTCTGATATTGTTTCTGATCTACTACAGCAAACTCAGGTAAAGTCATTGGCAGTGTAGTCTTTATTATTTAGTCTCCATTAATTTATTATTTAATTATAATTAAATATCATTAATAATCACATTGCTATATCAAAATAATACAACATGAATATTATATTCATATTATTAATGATACAATTATTATTCTGTTCTGCTTGCATAATTCAGTAATTGAGGAATCAGTCTAATTGATATAATTGCTTCATCAGTCTGTGTTGTAGTAAACTTCTGTGAATACACTACCACTTGCTTGCTTTTCCCATATGCTTTTATCTTAGTGTCACCCCTGACATTTTTTTTGTTACGCTTTTAATATGACTATTAAACTTCATTTAGTTTCTTATCTTCCTTAAAGCAAAGCATTTTATTTATTCTGTCTTATTTTAAAGCTACAGAAAGATGTATAGTTTTCCTTTATTTTCATTCTTCCACATATTTTCATACTGCCAGCTTATGCTTTACTCCATAGATGGAGATATGTGGTTTTTATGACTTCTTCATAGCACACCAAAATCTGCTCCCCTGCATTTTTCACCTTTCTCTCAGTCTTGTTTAAAAAGCTTTAACCTTTTTGAAGTATCAGACACCTGGTTTCATTTCTGTTAAAATGAATATGCCATTTCTGTTACTCATACACTCTGTTCTGCCTTAATCATGTTCTTTCTGCATGGCCTTGCACAGAGGAGTAAAAATATTTAAAAGATTGTTACCATGGAAGCCCTGGTCTTCAATTATCCATTTCTTAGTCTGAACTTCGCTCACAGAACCTATTAGCTAGCTTTCTAGACTCAGTAAATTCAGTCTTTCCCTCAATTTCAAGGTCATGGACTTGCACGTTCTCCTGGGCCTAGCCGACTGAATCAGCAGTTTTCCACAATACACTACTGCCTTCCTTTACCTATCAGACAAATACATAAATAAGGTTTCTTAAACATTGACAGAAGTTACAAATTATCATATAGGTCCTCAACTTGCCTACCAGTTACTTGCTGAACAGTAGGTGGAACTACTTTTGATGAAGCTTCCCCAGTCTTGCACACAGCACTGGAACTACTGGTGTTACATATACATTCACAATCAAGAAATGCTTTACCTTATTACATCCTTGTAAAAATTTTTGGATATATGACTCCAACATATCTTCAATCTAACTGCAGTAGTGGTAAGAAAGTGTTTGGAAAGTGGTAAGAAAGCATTTGGTGAGAAAGGAAAAACAAAATGATTAACTAGCTATTAAGGAGCTAGTTTAAAATGTGGTTCTGTTGCATAGGAATATTTTACTACTACATACTTAACCAAGGTTTTATGCTTAATGAGATGTTCTGCCTCTAGCATATACATACTACACTTCCTGGGTGAGCAGGAAGTTTCATTCTACTTAAATGTTGCTAATATATATGGATGAGAAAATGGTGATTTCCAGTTTAATATAACATTTTTTTTTTAACATGATAAAATTCCTACAACTTTCCCAACAGACACACTTTAGCACTTTAATAGTGAAGTCTCTTGTCTATCCCAAGATGCAGCTTAGTTTAACATATTTGATGACATGCTTACCAGAGTTTTTGTAGGGAGGCGACTTGTTTCTGTGAATGCTGACTCTATTACCAACCTGCCTACGATGTTAAGAGATTAGAAAAATGAAGAGGTTAGCTAAGACAGCATATGCAGAACTTCCATCACACCACCCTCTTTCTTTGTCCAGTTGTAATAGGGAACTACTTAAAATTTCTTCTACTCTCTTGCAAATTGATCTGGAAGATTAAGGATTAAGTCACTCCAGTTCTCAGTAACTGATAAGCATGCAGAAAAATTGCAGAGGAGACTTTGGTCTCAGTAATAGGTGTTAAGCCTTGTGGGGCTTCTTAGTGTAACCTTCCCTTCCTCTTAAATGAAGGAGAGGGAAATAAGAGATCTACACTTGCTTGCCTAAGATGCTTGCACTCTGGCACTGTCCCACCTGTGCAGATTCCATAAAAATACACTCTTTTATAACTTGTTGTCCACTCCACGATTTATTTTAGTAGTATTTGTAAATGACTGTTTACATGGGTTGATAGTGATAGGACAAGAGGGAACGGTCTTAAATTGAGATGGGAGGCTAGATATTTATAGATATTTGAGATTTAGGCTAGATATTAGGAGGAAGTTTTTCACCCAGAGGGTGGTGACACACTGGAACAGGTTGCCCGAGGAGGTTGTGGATGCCCCATCCCTGGAGGCATTCAAGGCCAGGCTGGATGTGGCTCTGGGCAGCCTGGTCTGGTGGTTGGTGACATAGCACGGGGGTTGAAATTAGATGATCATTGTGGTCCTTTTCAACTCAGGCCATTCTATGATTCTATTTTAGGGAAATACTGTTCATCGGTCATCTACCTGAAAAAACATCAAGATAGATAAATGGAGCAAATTTTAGAAAACTGAAATTAAGAACACTTGTCTTAATGTACCAGTATGTGAGAAACTGATGAGAATTACAGCTGTCCTTTGAGGGAATGGGAGAGAAATTGAGGATCATAATCAAGCCCAAATCCTAAAAAGCTACTTAGCTCAGGATACAACAGTAATTCAACTGGAAATGAATTCCAGTGAACTCACAAACTTGAAATTGCTTTCAGATCTTCCAGTCACATACAGCTGCATACGTTGGGTTCAGAAGTCATCCAAAGGCTGTTAGTGGCGAGCACATAAACACTGTCAATTCCAATATCATAACATTCAACCTTTACCTCCTGACTTGGTGCACTGCCATTCCTTCCCACATCCCTATCCTATATCTGTTATTGAAAATGATGAACAAGTCAAAAGAGAAGGAAAGAAAAGTTACTATTTAAGAATTCTGCTGGAGGACAAGGAAGTACAGTGAGAGGAGTATGCTGCACAGCTTATAGTATAAGAGGAAAAGGCAACTCCCACTGCTATTGCTGGGAAGCCTGAATCACTGTAGGGATATTCCCTTCATAGTGGAGATGCACCTCAGGAATATCAGCCTGAAAATAAAACATAGCATTTCACTCACATTTATTATTTTAGATGATGGCACTTGTAGGGTTCTGCACCTCAGTGCCTGACAAATACAAGAGTGAATCAAAGGGGAACGATTATCCATTCCCTTTTCATTCCTTTTTCTCATCAATGAAGGAAAATAATAAACAGAAAAACTAAGAATTAAATATGGATGCAGAAAACATTACTATTAAGAAAACTTCCTTGGTAGCAGTAATAATTCTATCTTCAGTAATTAAAACATCAGTTGTACTCTTGAATAATAAATAATGCATTATAGGCTCTTAAAAATCCTTCAATAATAAAATCTCCTTCTTAATCAATAAACAAGATATTCTGTGATAACTTACAAAATAAACACAATGAAAAAGAAAACAACTAAATGAATTGAAAGAGCAAATAACACCACAGTTAAATCCAACCCTGATGCTAAGAGAAACAGACAAGTCTTTAAATGATAAATTTAAGCTCTGCAGCACCTATCTCAAAACAGACAGATGAAAGGAAAAGGCAAGGAATACAGAGAGCTAACATGTCCTTAAGAAAAACAGCACACACAGGCAGCCACTGAGGCTGGCAGAATCTTTCTTCTCCCTCCTCTTAGAAGTTAATAAAAATCCTGTCTTTATGGAAAATAAGAATGGTGCGCATTTAGTCTTCTGTGTAAATGGCTTTCTCACTAAAAAGGACAAAACAAAATTAAAAGCCCAAGGATGACTTGAGGATATCATACATTTTCCATCTATAAATAATAAAATGATAGTCCTTACAGGATTATAAATTACACTGAGAACTGAACACTGCATGCTCTCTTATTCTGATCATTTGATCTTTCCAGGTATCACAGAGCTTTTCTTTGGGCCCTCTGGGGTGTTATTCTTTGTAATACAGCTTTACAGTGTGTTCAGGGTATTAGCTGACACACCAAGAAGAGAAACAGACAGAAGATGGCTGCAAAATTACCAAACTTTTACTATAATCTCACTGAGGTCGTCTTTGTTCACTAGGATTTTAGTTATTTTAGTCAGCAACAGTTAAATTATTCTCTTATTCAGAAGATACATGCACACTACACAATGCAGATAAGTCCTTTCTGTTCAGCCTTATGGTAACTCGTTGGAAAAGACTGACATCGAATTCTTAGATTAGTTTGCAAGTAACTTAGTGGACAACATTCTGAATAATATAATGAATTCTAGAATTTTCTGTAACTTTAGATATGTAAAATCAAACAACTGCTTTAATTATCAGAAAGAAGTGTGATATTTGCAATCTACAGTATCTAATTTATGTTCTTATCACATCTGACACATCCCAGGCATCCAATTTAAATCATTAAAACTCAATCCTGCACGCTGCGCTAGTAAAATCTGCACCAGTGGAGGTAGCAATCTGTTGCTGCCATTACTGCAATTGTATGATGTTGGCCCATGACGTCAGAGGCAGATGGTGGTGGTATGGCAAAAGAGGTTGAATCTTCCCATTAATATTCTGATACATGTTGTTGCTGTGCGACAGATGGCAGCAAAGGGGCAGTGTGACACAATGGTGTTTGACATGGAAGTGTGTATGAAGCGAAAAAGTGTGTCATAGCGTTCCTCCATGCAGACAGAAAGCCACCCATCGACATTCAACTTGCTGAACGTTTGTGGAGACCAAACAGTGGATATGAGCACAGTGAGGTGGTGGGTGGTGCATTTTAGTAGTGGTGACAGCAGCTCATCTCTTCTGGTGAAGATCTTTCTGAGAAGAAAGATGTTTTCATAGCTGGTGAGAACGCATAGCCAATGATGGTGCCTGTGTTTAAAATTAATGTTTTGTAGCTGAGAAGTTGCTCTATCAAATCGTGTTCTTGAGCTCTTTTGTATTCCATGGAAATAAATAGGAGGCATTACCTGTGAAGCAACCTATGTATATTTCCTTTACTAGAGTTGAAGCTTTCTGGTATAGAATCATAGAATCATAGAATCACCAAGGTTGGAAAAGACCTAAAAGATCACCCAGTCCAACCGTTATCTATTCCCAATAGCTCCCACTAAACCATGTCCCTCAACACAACATTCAGCCTTTCCTTGAACACCCTCAGGGTCGGTGATTCCACCACCTCCCTGGGCAGTCCATTGCAGTGCCTGACCACCCTTTCTGAAAAGTAATACTTCCTCATGTCCAGCCTGAATCTCCCTTGCCGTAGCTTGAAACCATTCCCTCTGGTCCTATCACTAATGACACGAGAGAAGAGGCCGACCCCCAGCTCACTGCAACCTCCCTTCAGGAAGTTATAGAGAGCAATGAGGTCTCCCCTGAGCCTCCTCTTCTCCAGGCTGAACATTCCCAGCTCCTTCAGCCTCTCCTCATATGGCCTGTGTTCCAGACCCCTCACCAGCTTTGTTGCCCTCCTTTGAACACGTTCCAGGGCCTCAATATCTTTCTTGCAGTGAGGGGTCCCAAACTGGTCTCTGGTCTCTGAGACTATTAGTCTTGTATTTTGATACTGAAACTATTTACAAAATGAATAAAATTGTTTATAACAAGCCTTTAAGTGTAGAAGAGTCAATTCAGGCACTTTTCCTGTAACAAAAGCACTAAAGCCCGGGAACTTGCACTGAAACGCATGTGAACTTTGTAGTCCAACAGCCAGCAGTTTCTGAACTACTCACAATGAAATATTATTTGCCAAGAACAAAATTAACTCACAAGATCCCACTATCCTAGGAAAAATGATATTTAAAACTGAGTCATCTGATCAACTGGTTCACAACGTTTATGGCAGGAGGCAGATGATCTTCAAGGCCCCTTCTAACCTAAGCCATTCCACAATTCAATGATTCAATGACATACTTACAAACCTAAGAAGCTGACAGTAGTAATTCTTTCCTTGCCAGTCTCCTGTTCTCTACTAGAAACAAACCATCATAACATCTATACAGAATGGAAAGGGCTTTCATAAACATTCTTAGCAGATATTTAACATTGCAATTGTTTTATTATTGATTTATTTATTAATGAATGATAGTAAGGACGCAGCTACCCTGTTTAAGAGAATAAGAAAGCTTAACAGTATGGATGACAGACAACCCTTTGACTGTTCCAGAGTCATTTGTCAATTACTAGTACAGATCTAGCTCTCAATTTGGATTTTACTTGACTTTTGTACCTTTAGAATGTCCCAGTCTTTCAATTTATGTTTTATGTAACTTCCTAGATCAATAAACAAACAACCAAACAACAACAAAAAAGAACAACAACAAATAATAATTCAACATACTATTCACATGAAACTGACTTATCTGCATAGTTCTACTCTTTGAATCTTTGTAAAACTGCTTGCAGTACTGGATCTTAGTCTTTCATGTGGATGAGGGATGAACCAGATATTGTGCCAGAATACTTCCTGTTTACTTGAGTATTAAGTAGGAGTGTCTTATATGTCCCAGAAACCAGATCAGCTCTTCTGCAGTATAGCTATGCTTACTTTCTTTGTTTCCCTCATGCAATTATCTCAATTTTTTAATTATTCGAGACATTCTCCTTTGCAATCTACTGCACTACTCCCAGGTTTTGCTGAATTTCTTCTACTTACTGTCTTACCAACTTCCTTTCTTCTCTTAAACAATCTGAGTCTTCTATGGCTCTTTTTCTCCCTTGGTCCTGATTACTCAAAATAGCTGAACAACTACACCATATTTATCTTTAGTTCTTGTCTAATGTCTCCTCTGTTCCTTTAAAATTTAAATTTATTGATAATTCCAGCCTTTTGACACATCTATTCCTGTCTACAGTGTTTCTCCTAGACTCAATACTCCTGGATGACCAGAACCAGCCTTTGCTTCTTTGAGGAGCTTGTCCCTACATACATCTTTTCTCTCCTTGTTTGGCTTTTGCTCCCACTGCTTTGAAATCAAGTCTTCCTCCATCTTCCCTACAGACACCAGCAGAGGTATAGGAAAACATCCCACTGAGAGCATAGATTCTTATGGGTGAAAGGACCTCAGCTCTCACCTCCACTTACAGACCCAAACCTAATGCAGGGAAAATTGTGCTTCATCTCTGTGAGCAGAACTGACAAGACTTGCTGAAACATTTCTCTCATATATGCTGAACTGTGATCTTATGGGTTCAACGAAAGTTCAGAGAGATTTTCACAGGGTATAAAATGCGTATTTGCTTTGGTGCATATTGTTATTCATTTGCTGACATTTTTTTGTGCTAAGAATTCCCCTACCTTACATATAGAATAGTAAAACTGCCAGGGTTAAGGCATGCACTGTGGATATTGGCAGGTTCAGCTGACAGCAAAGCCTCAGAATGGCTCAGCCTTTGCCCCCTGGTTCCCTGCCAGGCATGACCAGGGCCACTTTTTGACCACTTTATGGGAACAGTAGAGATGAGGGCTCCCAAAAGAGCACTGTGTTTTTCTGGAGATGAAAATTAGTTGCACAGATGCAAGCTGTGTCATGCCATTTGCCTTCAGAACTGAGGATTAGTCTTTGCTAGCACATACGTGACTTACTCCAAACAAATAAAGATGAAATTCAGCTACAGACAAGTGAATATTGTCCTTATCGTCCACTTCAGAAATTATTTCTCCCTCACTGGTTTGTGTTAACAAGAGTTTGTGATAACATTTAAGTGGTCTTAATTAAATACGATGAATTGAACAGTAAGAAGTTCCGAAACAGTAAGCAGAAACTATTCTCCTGTACAGAATAAATTCATTAGAAATCTCACTAACTTTCTTTTGAGGAGATTACCAAGATTATGAAAGCTCCAAGTGGTGAACAAGAATGCCATCTGTTACACAGTTATAAAACTACTCCTCAGTAAAATGTTCCTGACTCTGTAAAAGAGAATAATCAATCATCTGAAATTGGAAAAGTTTTATCACCTTGTGACAGCTCAAAGGAAGAGAACTGTTGTGTGTGACGTGGTAGTTTCATCAGGCTGTGCAGCCTGGCAAACAATTTGACATTTCAGATGTTTCACGACATTCAGATTCATACTCTCCATATCGTATTTCCACACCACAATTTGTTGCACCTGCAAGAGCAACACATTCAGACCTGGAAGAAAGCGCCAGACACAAAAATAAGGAAATGTGAGTTCCCAGACAGCTCTATGGAACTACTTCTGTATTCTCACTTATCTATTAAAATCTCTGCTGTCCTCCAGAGAAAAATCTCTTGCACTTATATTTATATTATCATTAGTAAGTCTTGAAACCTACAGCAAGTAAATTACAGAAAATATTCTATTCTTAAGAAAATACATTTGTTCTTTAAGCAAGACTATGTGATTTCGAGTGACAATGGAATGAGCCCATAGTACCTCTAGAAGTTTAAAATGACTCTTAACCTGGGTGACTAATTAGAATTTTGTCTACTTTAGAGTGGCCTGCATGTCTTTGGGTATTGCTAACATTAAGGAACTCATTTGTATATCTGACAAAATAGATGCTTCCCATGTAAAGTTATACAGACAAGATCTGTAGTTTGTTATTCTCAGCTGCAGTGAAGGTAAGTTTTTCATGTACAATACAACATTATTTCTTAAGTACAAAGGCTATGATATGTTTTTGGGCTTTCAGTTTTCCTTTAATGGAAACACCACAAGGAATCTCAAAGAACTGGTAGGCACAAGTACTTTTACATCTTTTTCCCAGTCCCTTGTTATCCTTTTTCTGGTTAGTTTTACACTGGAGTGAAGTGGGGCAGATGCACCAGAATGACAAAATAAACTCAGTGCCTGGGGTCCAGGGCTGCAGGAGGAATTGAGAGATCTTGGCTAAGGGTTGTGAATATCCTGAAAGGCTGAAAGTTCTTTACAGACGTGAAGAAAATGGAAGCAGTCCCTCTGCTGGAGACAAATTATTAAAGAATGTCTGCTGTCATCCTCTCATGCGGATCTATACCAAACACGAAAACTTCCGGAAACGGCAAAAAAAAATCTTTAAAAAAATCATTTACATGTTTTTAATTTCTAGGTGTGTGATCCTTTCTGTGACACAAGAGTAATCACCATCAAGGCCAAAATGAGTCTTGCAGAAATTCTTTTCTCACTATAATTTATGCTTTACAAGGAGCAGAGCTTTCAGGAAAAGTCCTTTAACATTATCTTCAATGTTGTTCTCTGGAAAAGTATTTCATGTCCTCTGTGCTGGAAGAGGCACTGTCTGTGACAGCCTAAAGCAGCAGCTCTATTTAAACACATAAAGGCATATGAATTGGCATAACTTTTTCTCTTTTTCCCGTGCTTGCTTCTACTTTTCTTAAAATACTAACTACTTCCAGGAGGAATGCTGCTGTCTCTTTACAGGCATACTCCCAGTTCACACAGTAGACTTAAGTACAATGACAAAACATACAAACACAGATAACCCCGTTCTCGAGTGCAGTCCACTGTTGGCTGAGAACCTTGAAAAGTAGTGCATTAGCCTTGTTAAATGATTACATACATTATAGAGAGATATAATGCCCTTCTGTGAACCTTTTTTGAATAGTAAGCTGAAAATATATTGGAAAAAAAAAAAACCACCAACAGCAATGGAACTAGACACAGAGGCTAGAGATGAAAGTAAGCCCTTGTGTCTCCCCTACTAATTTAAGTGATTCACCACAGATAAGATTTCAAAAATCTGAAACAATTATTTGGTGTTCAATCTAGAAAGTCTCGATTGTGCCTTTTTTGAAAAGACAAGTAAACTGCAAATTTGAAATTCACTTCCCTTTTCTGCAGTGAGGTAAGCAAGATGCATTCCTATTTATACTACCTCATGACATATTTTAAATGTCTCTCCTTTTCCGATGAATTTTTTGCATCAGACAACACAAACTGATGTGCTGCTTTTGCACTGCAGTCCTTGACATAACAATGTTACCACACATTTTTATTTACACAGAAGAAAACAAATTCATTTAAAAATGTATTAGACACATAAGGAAACCATCAAAACACACGTACAGTAGAAGCCTTTTTAGGTGATGTTAACTTCAAATGTTTAGGCAGCAACTGCCTCTATGTTTCTTCAGCAGCTGTGACAAAGCAGTAATGCCAAAACACAGGAGATGAAGAACATAGCAAGATGTATAAATACTTTTCATCAATATGCTACTTACTGGATTAAACTAACAGGAAAGATGCAAAAGTTACAAAACACATACCTCATTTTTCCATTAGCTGTACAAATAAATGAAGTAATAAATAAAGAAACAAAAGCTAGAATTGCAAGTGAAGTACACACACATTCCAAAACATACTGAGAGTAAGATCTCTCATTTAACATCTATGTACCTTTTATACCTCAAAGTTGATTTTTTAATATAAAGTATATTAACAGAAATGGAAATAAGCAGTTAATACTAAAGCCTAAGTTTACATTAAATTTGAATTACATCACTGGATCAAATACTGCAATGTGAACAGTATGATTTGTATTTTGCATACTTCTGCATTTTAAAGGTCCTACTTTGAGGAAATGGAAAACAATTTCTACTAGAGTCAAAGAACAAGCATATTACAATCTCCAGGAAGCATGTCCCTGGTCATTTTTTGGACTAACAAGGGAAAAAGCATCCATAGAATGTACTATTTGTTATTTTAAACTCAGATTAGACAGATCATTTGCTGATCAGTTACTGAGAATATTGCCTCATACACCCATCAATTTTTGTAGCCTGAGATTTCACCAGAGAACCAACCCAGAAGACAATAAAACTTGGAATATTTTATCAGGAAGCTCTAATAACTGGTATCTGCTACCTACACATCTGTTACAGCTTTATTTACAGTTTGGACCATAAACAATGAACAACTGACAAGTTCCAGAGCTTTTGCATCCATTTGACAGTTTACGAAAAAAGAATTAGACATGTAAGGGCTATTACCTAAACTATTCCTTGTAGATTGAAAGAAAACTACAGGTCATTCTGAAGTACGGGTCCTGATATGCTGTTAGGCAAGATTCTTTGTAGCATGCTCAGCTTGTTTACTACCTGCATTACAGATTAAACTAGATTCTTCAAGAGAAGAATTTACTTCTTGGTATGGTGATTTCACATGTAAATATTTCTCCAGGAAGAGAAAAAGCTACAAATTAGGCTTTTCTAAGTTCAGGTTCAGGAAAAGTCCATACAACTTTCTAAGTGCAATTCTGTTATGAAATTTTTCCAATTATCTAACCTAAATCTCCCTTGGTACAACTTGAAGCCATTCCCTCTTATCCTGTCACTGTTACCTGGGAGCTGAGGCAGATCTCCACCTCACCACTACCTTCTTCTCAGGCAGTTGTAGAGTGCAACAAGATCACCTCTGAACCTCCTCCAGACTGAACAATCCCACTTCCCTCAGCCGCTAACCATAAGACTTGTGCTGCAGACCCTTCACAGCTCTGTTGCCTTTCTCTGAACATGATTTAGCATCATGAACTTCACCTTGTACAAGGGCTATGTATTACCTGAATCAAAAGGAGAAAGCTGAATAAAATTCCCCAGAGACTTCAAAACATCTACCAGTGTTCAAATCTATTTCAAGATGGGAAAATTGTCTTGTAAATGTTCTCATTTCATTTCAGCTGTGAAATATCAAAATATGAAGTCAGACATATAAAAGAGATAAAGTCTCCACAATATATTTTAAGTACAGTATATTAAATACTGAGAAGAATCCTAGTGATAAAAAGTGAAGTAAGCAAACTTGAGAGACATAGATGGAAAAAAGGGAGATAGATGGTAAAATGGGGAGATAAATTGCCAAAGGAATGTTGAATAAAGTCACAAAAAGATTGACAAAATATTGAAAGATGGAATCTTCTGATAAAGCAAAGGAGGAGAAAAGAATTTAGCTTTCTGCAGCCTTTGATTTTCTTCTTTTACAATCTAGATATTTATCTGCTTTGCTTACTCAAGAAATCAAAAATCATAGTTTATTTTGTAGGTAATTCCAATTTTAATTCTCTTCTGAGTTAAAGTCATATTTTAGTTAGTATCTGAGCATTTCTGATACAGAAAGACAGTCATTTTAATGTTACTAATATAGCAAGCACTTTAGATGTTCTCAATATGGCTAAAGGAAAAATGACCTAATCTTCCACAAACATGGCTAGGTTCAGTTAACAAAACAAGTCAGCAGGTATAACTTACAGAACTATCAGTTCTATAAATGTTTAACTAGACACAAAATTAATGAAAAATATGAAAATAAATGCTAAAAAATTAAGTATGCACATGTGATTCTTATAGCTAACCATCAAGTTATACATATGCATATATTCACATAAAAAACGTTTATGTTTCAGTGAGAATCATTTGTTTTAAAGCTAATGCCAACACTTAACGCATATCACACTCCACTTAAAAAATGTTGAAGTTTATATTCCACTTTCTTATACAGAAGTACTTCACTCACCACAGAAACGTAAGCAACTGTGGCATGAAATGCAGCAGCTGTTTAACAGCTTCTGGCAGGTATACCGAGAGGTTTAATGAGAAGACTGGCCCAGGTAGCCAAAGTTACAGATGAACTACATAGTGAGAATATTCTTACCCAAGCTGAAAATGTGACCAAGATATTGAATTAACTTGTTATTGAAACTGTCATGATAGTTTTATCTTGGCTTAATAAAGGAAAATGTGTAATCACACTCTGTCACTGTCTAAATTGTCTATCTCCCATCACTTTCCATCCTTCTTACAGAAGTTCTTGAGCTTCTTAGTCAATTTCAATCATTCTACGGACACGCAGAAGTCTTAGAAATCATATATTCCTATGAACTTTATGAAAATGAGACAGAAGACAGATGAAAGCCCATAATGTCTCCACTGAGAAACTGCAATTGTCAAGAAGATTATCATCACCTCTTATTACATACTAGAAGTCCTGAAAGAGAGAAACACTTTCTAAATGCCTCTGTTAAAGAAAAACCTCAATCATCTCATTAAACACCTAAGAGAATCAACTTTGAGAAATAAATTTACTTGAAAGCAAGATGAATTTAATTCCAAGTCATGAAAACAATTACAAGCTGTAAGATGCCAGGACCCGAGATTTATATCTCACACAAAAGGTATTACTTTTCAGAGGAAGAAATAAATCTCTCAAAACTATTCAAAGAAGAGGGCATTTGTACTCTCAGATAATTTTCCTATGCTGTTTGATGGAGGCTTGGGTTTGTATTATATATTTCCAGCTTTTCCTTTCAATTGTTCTTTCAAAACTATTTACCCATACTTAAGTACATTTCTCCTTGAAATTCCTCCATACTAACAACAGTCTGTCTAATTACAAATTACACACCTGTGTAATTACAAATCTATTACAGAATGGACAGATATTTTATTTTTAAATTATTATTGGAGCCTTATAATTACAACTAAAAGCTAATATGCAACTCGCTTTCACCAATGAGTTTTCAAGCAGGAAAAAATTTGCATGTCATTTGGAAAAGCCATAGAAGCTTAGAAAAGAGATTTTAAATGGCTCCTTCTAATACTGGGCTTAATATGGATGCTTTTATTTTTAATTTAACTCCATGCAGTGACTCTTACACTCAGAGAAATTTTAGGGTAATTTGTTTTTTTTCATTATGTAATGGAAAGAAGGTCTGTACTTCATATGTAAATATCACATTTGTTTAGAAGATAAACAGACTTTCAGCCTAGGCAAGGTAGAATCAATTCTGAATATACCTTGCAACCAAAGTTACCAAAATCGTAACCAACTGCAAACTTTCAGGACTCTATGGCACACAGTTGCTATAGATCCCCCATTGGGATGTAGCTATGCAGGCAGGATTTCACCTTACCAAGCACAGATAACAGCTACATCCCCTACACAGACAGTAGGGAGAGGTAGACTCTGCCAGGACATGATTCATCATCTCCTCAAGAATGTATTTAAGTTAGAATGGTAAAACCACTTGTATCTCTATAAATGTAGCCTAGGTGACTGGCGTAGATGCAGTCAAATCACATTCCTGTTGTAAGAACTTATGCGCTCATTCTGACGCATGATTAAATCTTCAGTGCTAGCACCTGGCAGAGACATCAAATATCTTCCACTAAATCATTTGATAATGAGTCAGAAATATACTGGTATCAAATTGGTCATTTTCCTGCAGGCAGTGAAATTATCCAAGAGAAAACATATTTGAATCCACATTGTAAGAGGAGTTCTGTATGCATGCAGTTATACACTCCTTATTTGTTCAAGTTTGCTAGATTCAAATTCCAGTCAGTTGAAGCTTATTTTGGTAATAGTTCCTCAGATGGAAAGTTAGTATCAGGCTGTCAAATCAAAAATAAGTGTTCAGCAGAAGCAAAGGATCCACTCCATTAAATTGAACTTTCAGTATGTGATAGATAACTGAGAGAAACTTAGAGCTACAACCATCAGAGATTTACTATTGAAAACCAGAGATTTATGTAATTCTGTAATATATTTGTATGCTCATATGATGTTGTACAAAAACTTAAAAAGCACTAAAAGTTAGCTTCTTAATATTACACAAATGCAAGTTTATACCATGCAACTTCACATTGCATTTAGCTGCTAAAACAAATATATTCAAATTACCAGAATCAAAGTTATAACTTTGCATAAAAATTAACACTTAAATTTAGGTCCAAAAACAAATGGTATGAGTAGCAACATGATTCTTATATGAGGACAGAAAAGGCCTGGAATGCTGCACAGAAAATCAGATGGGAGGGAAGTTCAATATAACCATATGTTAAGTAAAGATCAAATAAAAAACAGCTTGATCTTAATTTGCAAACATTTTAATACTTATAAAAATAATTAGAAAATAAGTTTCTTACCTTAGAGATCTGAAACAAAGTGAACTTCTGAATAAACTACAATCAGACTCTTCCCCAAAGGGATCTGACTAACTTTTCCACTACTTTCAAATCTGGGAGTGGAAGATATTTTAGGCCTGGCCAAATATCACTAGAAGAAAATTTGCTCACATGTTTGGCTGTGTATTGCATTCCACTCTGTTGCTCTGGCGTACAGACGTGGCTAATTTTAATCTGTGACACAAGCAGCCAATTCTATTGCTAAAATGGTTGTGTGCTGACTCCAGATATGAACTGCCCCACTGTAAGATACAGCCAGTGCGTAGTGCATACTAAAATGGCACAACCTGTTATATCTGAGATCACAAATCCCAGCTGATTTATTAAAATCTGAGAATATGAAGCATTTCACAGAATTCAGGCATAAATGCTATCAACATAGATAGCTGTTAAGAGCAAAATTAACAGACAAAACTTCTGTTTTCTGCATCCTTGAGTAATATCCAACAAAACAGTCTTTTTTTTTTTTAATAAGCAATTTTAATACTAACATTATTCTAAATAGAATCTCTAGTGGTTGGTACATAAGGCCTCTTTCAAAAACACTTATGCAAGAAATACTTATGTTAAACTTATATTATACAATTATAACAGGACATACGACATTTACATAATAATTACATTAAGAATTATTAACCTTCTCTAAATGTTAATCTGTTCTTGGTATTATGAAAGATGCACATAACTAATGAGAGCCTCAAACAAAATGTTTCATACACTGTAGTGTATATTTTACAACATTCTTTTAGAAATTATGAGCCATCTTTCTTCAACGTCATTTAGGCTTCTAGTTTTCAGATGTAGAAATCACGAATTTCAGCCCTGCACTGCTTACATTAGACTGACTGTACATTGACCTACAACTTTCTGTTTAACCTATGAGACTGCAGAATCTGCGCTGTAACTGTATGCAAATTAAAAAGTATTAAAGCATGCATGTGCAAGATTTTACACAATAGAAATCCAGTAAACGTGCTATGCAGTTGTCATCCATTTGTCTGGACAACTTTCCTAAAGCACAGTGTTTCCTTTTCTCTAGCTATATACTCACAGTGTTATCATGCTTTAGAAGATGAAGTTCCTATCAGACGTTCAACAGCTGCAGATCATAAATTTAGGGCTGGCCACAGGCTTATAAGATACTTTTTTGCTTTTATGAACACTGAGTCCATTAATTCTTTATGAGACTGTTTACATTACACAAATCAAGTTGTTCTTTTCTGTACAAAAGAATTAATTCACTGGTATCTGACATAAAGGACAAACATTCTTCATAATGAAATTACATCACACAGTAGTTTTCTTTATGGACAGAACTTTTGTGTTATTTTCCATGTCTATTACTGCTCTTGGTATACCTGCAAAGTAAAAACACATAAAATAAAAAGAACAAATAAATACCTCAGTTAGTATCTTCTGAAGTTCTCATGAAGTAGGACGGGAGCAAGAGCAACTGTCAGTGAGCTCTGTATCATCTGAAGGTGGCTGTCTTCCTATTTAAATGTAAAAAATGGAAAGAGAAAGGAAAAAAATTCAGGAATATGTGGGAATGAACAAAATAAATTCCTGAATTGCCCTTTTGAGTACTTTAATTGACAATATTGTAAAAGATGTGGGCCAAAACACACTGAGATTGAAATTATAGTACACACTAAAATGAAACACTGGACACCCAAGCCCTGTTTGGTCTGCACATGTACGCCAGCATCGTTTACAGTGAATGGAATAAAAATTTCTGTCCAAAATGTATATGAAAAATAATGAAGACATCTGTTGGAATATTAAAGTTCCAGTTATTATTAGAATGCATTAGCGTAATAAGCAATTACTTCAGTCATGGAGTCTCATTTCATCTGTATGAAAACTAAGTCTTCCTCTCAAGTGATTATTGTCCCAGACCAAGAATCCTAATGTCCTGTCTCTCACCAGCAGCTGCCAACATCCTTTTCATTTGGATTTTGCTATCAGTGACTGATAACATAGTTCTGGAGAGGTTACGTTAGATAACATTCTGGAAATGTTTAGCTAGTTAAGCCAAACATACTCCACATTGTCAGGACCTCCTCCTACCAGTACTTGCCTAAGCAGAGAAAGAAATGGATACAGGATTCAGAGGCTGTGTTCTATGCTCTAAAATTATTAAATCTAAATTATAAACACCTGTATATTCAGTTTTATAACAAAGACAGAATTATTTATGAATTTCAAGAAGTACTTGAAAATGCATGCCATGGGAAAAAAAATGGAAAAAGATCCCTAAATTGTGGTTTGAGTATTCTGCCATCAAAATACACCACTTTTTTCATACAGATAGTTTACAAGTAGTTATGTGCATACCTACAAGTTTTCAATATCTACTCAAAGCACAAGACAACGAAGTGGTGAAGAAGATGGTGACCATCAGCTTAACCAATTCATCCAATGAAAAGACAAACTGAATGGAAATTTATACATCCATAAGAGCCCTTTGGTCTTACTTGTATCAACTTCTCTAACTTATTGAAATAATTTCCAGGTCTCTGACATGTTTAAAGAACACAATAGGAACTTAGGGCAGAAGGACAGTCTAGTCTCTCTGGAAAACAGAGTTTATTTCAGTAATAAGAGCCAAACAATAATTTTACAGTTGCTTGTTATAAAAAAATTAGTTTCACTTTAATCATCTAGGCTAGATTTTCTTGGACTACTTGTTGCAGGGATGTGCCTGTCTATAAGGTTTTATATACTGTAGTCAGAAAACAGATCATCTGCATAGTCAGAAGAGTATCTGGCTACCCTTACTCCATTTACAGTATCTTTGTCCTTGAGGCCTAAATCTCGCTAATGTCATTAATACTCCCTTCTCACAAGAAAACAAGATATCCCAGCTCTCTTGTATTCCCAAAATTGCATTGCAACAGATATCCCTCTTCATAATTATTAATGAAGTAAACTGAGAATAGAAGCCCTCTACTGCTGAACAACTGTGATTATATGACAAACAAAAAAACCCACACCAAAGCTACACAAAAATATTTATCTGTTGCAATCACTGAATGAAAAATAAAACTGAATCCTCAATCAAATAAATTGGGGGACAACTGTATTAACAAACTGTCAGAAGAAATGAAATATAATTAGTCATTAGCCACCTCTGGACTTTTAAGAACAGAGGGGACTATGTCCTATGAGTAGGGCCAGGGTGAATATTTTATAAAGGGATGTCATCTTCTAAATCTGAACAAAACATTGAGCCAAAAGGAACTTAATCTTTCCTATATATATAGAAATATTTGAAAGATACTGTGGCATATCTTCAAGCTATAAAGTTCAATTGTTTAAAATAGTTACTTGCACAAAGTAACAAATATTACAACAGCAACATTTTGGAATATAAGCACAATGTAACTTTAGTGGAGAAAGTAATAGGAACACATATGTACTATGACTTTAAGGCATATCTGTTGACTGTTTCACTATGCCAGTACCTATAAAGAGGTTCAAAACAGCTTTGGAACTCAGAATAGCTATATTTCATCACAGTATGAACAAGAATACTTAGCTCCTAAAACAGAAAAATATAAAAAAGAGTTTGAAGACAAGATAAACATAAAAGGACTTATTTCTAAATATCCAACTGCCCAGCATGTCAGAGCACAGCAGGTCCTTGTGTCTGGTTTCTGTGAAATGTTTTCATACATGAACATGAACAGCTGGCTGTGGGGCTGTTCCCAATCATCCTATCAGTATTTCAATTTCTGCTTCAGCTGTTATCTTCCAACTCATGGCTACCACACTCCTCTATCAAGCAGATTCAAACTGACAGAGGGTTAGTTTTGTTGTTCGGTGGCTTTGACGGATTTTTTTGTTTGTTGGTTTTGTGAAGTCATATCTTCTAATTGGATTGCATCTTCACACATTTTTTATTAAATAGCTCCTTTACTTCTGTGAATTTAACTCTGTACGAACCTGTAAAAAGGCTAAATTGTGAGGCAACAAGTTAAGAGCTGCCCGTACACACAGTACTCACTGCAGGATGAGCCTGACAGGTGAATTGGAATAGATCTAAGATAAAACAATGGAGTTTTTTTAAAAAGCAAATAATTAAGCTTACCATTGCAGACTCTTTTAGAGGTGCAAGCTGGGGAGGGCAAGACTAATGAAGCTTATGTGTCAACTAGAAGACGTGATGAAGGGATGTTGCTATAGTAGTACCCTAAAGACTGAAGATGCTGCTTAACTTAATACTGCAGAGAAAAAAAGAAAAAAAACCCACAACACTACTTAACCTTAAATGTCCAAGCACATTTGAAAAGATTTTGCCCTATTACAAAGTTCAGATAATGCTTCTATCAAGTGTGAAGTGCAACTACTGTTGACTTTTGGAAGTTAACTGCAAGCTTTTTCTCAGGAAGAAAACCAGAAATGCGTACTTGGATTGCAGGGGAATTCTTCACTATTCTGTACAGGACAGTGGATTAAAACCTTTTTTAATGAGTTCATTCTTCTGTGCATTAGGATTTTTATTTCAGTGTGTGATGCGCTGAGCACACACTCACAGCTCCATCAGCAAGCAGATCTCTGCTGGTGACGTGGACAGTGGGATTGGGTGCATCCTCTGCAAATCTGTGACTGACACACTGGAGGGAGGGGATGCCATTAAGAAGGATCTAGACAGGCTGGGAAGGTGGGTCTGTGTGAACCTTTTGCAGTTCAACAAGGTCATGTGCAACGTCCCATACCTGTGTCACTAAAATCTTAAGCATGAGTGGACTGGGAGCAGCCCTGGAAGGACTTTGAGGTATCAGTTGATGATAAACTCAACATTGTCTGGCAATGTGTGCTTACAACCCAGAAAGCCAATTGTATCCTGAGCTGCATCAAAAAAAGCACAGTGATGGAGGTGATTGTCCTCTCCCCTTGTGAGGACTCATCTGGTGCACTGTGTTCAGATCCAGGGCCACAGCACAAGAAGGATGTGGCACTGTTGGAGTGGTTCCAGAGGAGACCACAAGGTAATCACAGAGTTGGAACATCCCTCCTAATAAGAAAGGCTGAGTGAGTTGGTCTTGTTCAGCCTGGAGAAGTCTCTGGGGAGAACTCATTGTGGCCTTCCAGTACTTAAAGAGGGCTTGCAGGAAAGCGGCAGATTGGCTCTTTATCCAAGCATGCGGTATTAGGACAAGGGATAATGGTTTTTAACAAAAAGACGGGATATTTAGATTAAATATTAGGGGGAAATTCTTTACTCAGAGTGGTGAGGCACTGGAAAAGGCTGCCCAAAGAAGCTATGGGTGCCCCATCCCTGGAAGTGTTTGAGGACAGGTTGGATGGGGACCTGGGCAACCTCATCTAGTGCATGTTTTGGTGACTGGCAACTGTGCACAAGGCAGGGTGACTGCAACTGGATGGCCTTTAAGTTCCCTTCCAACTCAAAACCATCCTATGTGTCTATAATTAATTCCATGGTAGAACAGGTTTAACAGGCCTTCGAACGTGTGCATCTGGAGCTGTATCATCATATTGCAAAAACCATGTAGTGTAAGTGACGACTTCTTGTGCTGAACTATAGTTCAGAATCCCAGAATGATGCACTTACTCCAGACCCTCTGGATCAATATTGTCATTATCAGGCAGACAGTGGAAGCTCATCATTCAGCCGAGAATTTTTTACCCCTTCTGAGGTTCTAGGAAGACAAAAAGAAGACCAATAAAAAAGGAGAACAGAGAAATAACGTTTCTCATCAACTACCACAAGAGCAATCTGTGCTCTCACCTATGGAAGAAATGCAAACAGCCCTAAAGGAGTATGAATACAACAGTACAGCAAACCGTTTTTTAAGAATCTGTTTTGAAGATCTGAACTTGTATAAAAGTAGAGACTCAGTGCCAAAGATCAAGACACAGCCCTTGAATCATCAGATCTTTTTTAAGCTGCCATTCACTACAAGACAGTAAAACAACAATTATTGATGTCAACAATGCATCTCAACAATCTGTTGGCCTTACTGAGAGTCTAGGTTTCCCAAAATGAAAGCAGAAAAATAAGGCACATGAGAAATGTATTTAATTAGGAATTTGCCATCTGGCATAAGCAAGCAAATTATAAGTGTAGCCTTTTTAATATAGAAGTTATAATCAACTGGGGAATAGACCATAAGCTATTTCTTGTATGATTGAAATGCATAAGTTAGGTATGGGGATACTGTAATTATCAAGTATTTTGAAGCATTATTCATGAGGCCAAGCTGTGGGTAACCACAGCATGTGGAGTAGCCACAGTAAAACTGCTGATTTGAAATTGATAGGTATAAATCAGTAATTTTGGCAGCCTTTGAGAATTTGGCACTTTATTAAGTAAAGTTAGAATATACCTGAAAAATAAATGGCTAGGTGAGTTTGAACAAGAAGTAAAAGCATGTATAACCTTTTTTTGAAGTCCTATTTGGAGCAATATTTACTATAATTACACATCCCATTCTGACTTTTTTGAAAATTATTTTGAAAAATAAATAAATAAAAACAAAGTACAGAATTGGCAAAAAAATGCAGTAGGCTCTACTTGTTACTGTACTGAACAAGAGATAACTTGCTTAATTTTAGTAATAAACAACATCAGCATATGACCAAATCTCTTCTTGGTGAACTTTGTAATAGTTGGTGATTTGTAATAGTTTCAGAATTACTGGTCAAAGAAACAGAAGATATGGTTAAAAGTCCTTTTCCCTATTGTAGAATCGTAAATCACATAGGTTTTTTACTATACTATTAAACTTACTAACTTACTAAAGTTAACTTACTAAACTTACTTTTACTATAGGTTTTATAGACTTTACACATCATTGAGTCCAACCATGACTTAACCATACTACCCTAACTAACAACACTCTGCTAAATCATGTCCCTGAGTGCCACATCCAAATGATTTTTAAACACATCCAAGGACAGTGACTCAACCATCTCCCTGGGGAGCCTATTCCAGCGCTTATCAATCAAAACACTTTGCTTTACATCCTCACTCCTCACACATAGGTGGCTTTGCATCAGCTAAAGCGAGAAAAACTGTGTCCCACTTCATCTGATAAACTCATCTGCTGTCTGGAACTCTAGTGCCTACAAAGGCTGCTTCATTTTCATCTGAGCTAAGACCCAGCCATCATCTGTTTGAAAACTGTTGCAGTGCTAAACATAAAGCCAAGTCACATACCAGCCCTTTTACCAGGAAACAAATTCCAGAGACTCACCAATCCTTTCTTAAGATGTCTCACAGCCTCTGAGCTTCTGTTTCTTTTTATTTATTTATTTTTAATCCTTCAAAGTAGACAAGCACCAGACTCAGTATAAAAGTGAATTGTCCCAAACAGAATGGTCTACAGTAAAATTACCTGCAATATCCAATTTATCCATGACTTACAGTCCTCTGTAATGTTTCTAGCATTTCCTAAGGAAATATATTTGATGTATCCTTCTCCTTCCACTATAATATGTATAATGTATCCCAGGGACCTGATAGAACTGGCTGATGTGGTTGGCAAGCCTCTCCATCATACTGAAAAGCCATGGCTGTCAGGCGAAGCCACCAGTGACTGCAAAACGCGAAACATCACTCCCATCTTTAAGAAGGGGAGTCAGGAAACCACAGTTTGGTCAGCCTCTGTGCCTGGGAAGATATTGGAGCAGATTCTCCTGGAAGAGATGTTAAGGCACATGTGAGATAAGGAGGTGATCTGATACAGCCAGCATGGCTTTACTATGGGCAGATCATATCTGACCAATCTGGTGCCCTTCTATGACAGATTGGCAGCACTGGTGAACAGCAACTGATGTCATCTACCTGGACGTGTGCAAGGCCTATAACATGGTGCTATACCCTATCCTTATCTTCAAATTTGGAAAGATATGAAGGGGTGACTATTCAGTGGATAAAGAATTGCCTGGATGGTCACAGCCACAGTGTTGTGTAGAAGGGCTCACTGAGAGAGGCCCTGAGTAGAAGGAAAGTTCTGGGTTGAAAAGCTGGACATTGAGCCAGTAGTGGGATCTGTGACCTGTGTGGTGATTGTTCCCCCTCTACTCTGCCCTTATGAGACCTCATCAAGAGTACTGTGTAGAGCTCTGGGGCTCACAGGGCAAGAAAGATGTGGAGCTGTTGGAATGGGTCCAGAGGAGAGCCGTGAGGATGATCAAAAGGCTGAAGCACCTCTCCTATGAAGACAGGTTCAGTGAGCTGAGGTTGTTCAGCCTGGAGAAAGCTCTGGGGAGAATTCATTGTGGCCTTCCAGTACATAAGGTGAGCTTATAAAAAGAAGGAAGACAAATTTTTTACATGGAGTGTAAAAAGATGCAGATGGCGATAGCACAAGGGGAATGGTTTTATACTAAAAGTGGGAAGATTTAGATTAGATGTTCAGGAGAAATGCTTTGCTCAGAGGGTGGTGCAATTCTTAGGAGTCTATCTGCTGGTTGCTCTTTTGCTTTTCTTTGCATCTCTATCCTGCTTTCACAGACCTCCTCAAAGCTAACCCCTCACAACAATGACCTTTCTCTTTTTTTTCTGCAATCAACACGCTGGTATCTTGGAATATTGCTTATGTCTACCAAGTGACTTTACAAAGCGCTTATTTAGGTGTACTGGGCCCATATATTTAATCCCCAGTCCATGTTGCCTGAGTTAACATCAAGCAGAATGGTCACTGTTGTCTTTTTGAATCTTATTCCTCTTTGAGTTTTGAGGAACTGAAAAGAAGGGAAAATGAAAATTAAAAGGAGAGGAATCTGTACCAACTGACTCCAGCCAAGCTGTCAGTCTGTCTTTGCTATGTGACACAAAGGATTGTCTCAGCACCTCCTTGTCAGTGATTGCTATGCTCCCTGAAGCACCAGTGCACAATCCAGCATACTTCCTTTGTGAGAAGCCTAGACAGTTTACGGGTGCGAACAGATAGCATTCATCAGCACTTCAATTACCTATCACCTCAAAAGCTTGAATTTTCCTGATATATCAGTGCTGTGGCATAGCAACCCTACTTCGGTTCAGTTTCCTTTTCTTTCTTACTTTAATCTCTACACTTTAATCATACAGACATAGATCAGGACACAGTCATCTACATGAAATGCTCTGCACTAAGCATTGTAGGTGGACATTGTAATATGGGCTTTAAAGAAACACACAATCAATTTCTAACTAGCAAGGCTATATCTCCTTCCTTCGTTCGTTCCTCCCTTCCTCCCTCCCCCCTCCTTCCCCCACTCCCTCCCTCCCTCTCACCCTTACCCCCCTCCCCCCCTCACCTCCCTCCCCCCCTCCCCACTCATCCCCCCTCCCTCCCTCCCTTCCTCCCTTCCTCCCTTCCTCCCTTCCTCCCTTCCTCCCTTCCTCCCTTCCTCCCTTCCTCCCTTCCTCCCTTCCTTCCTTCCTTCCTTCCTTCCTTCCTTCCTTCCTTCCTTCCT